ATGGTTAACTTAGTGTCAACCAGGACTCCCAGGTCCCTCTCCGTGGAGGTGCTTTCCAGCAGGTCAACCCCTAATCTGTACTGATGCCTGGGGTTATTTCTCCCCAGGTGCAGGACCCTGCACTTGTCCTTGTTGAACCTCATGAGGTTCCTCTCTGCCCAACTTTCCAGCCTGTCCAGGTCCCTCTGGATGGCAGCACAGCCATCCGGAGTGTCAGCCACTCCACCCAGCTTGGTGTCATCTGCAAACTTGCTCAGGGAAACTTTGCAATTTTAACAGTGAAGATACTCATCAACTTCTGAGGTTTTCCTTTCCTGTAAGAAAATTACACTTTTGTCCACAGACACACTCTGAAGAGGGAAATATTAAACCACTATGAATCACTAAGAGCCTAACAGCATTAGCATGGACCCATGGGTCAACAGTCAGGATAATCTCAAGGCAAAAATGCCATTTACTTCATGCAGCTTCTCCACTTTGCACCAGATGAGTGTACAGCAGAGATTACCAAGAGCTACTCCTGAGTCTTTCTGCAGCAAAAAGATGAACAGCACTGCAATTTTCTTATAGTCAGTGTTACACCAAAACAGYGTGCTTAAAATCCAGCCCTTGCAAGGAAAAACAAAACAGAACAAACGGGTGAGATTTCTGAGAGACTCTGCAAGTCCTTTCGGGATCCACAGCCTATCTGGCAAGTGCTGCTTGCTTTCCGTGGACTTGGGTCCTGCACTCAAGTTCTGCAATCACAGCTACACTTTTAATCCTTTGGAGGATTAAACCACAGCCCTCTTCGCTGCTGCCTAGAGGATGAGTTTTATTCAGTCTCAAGCTACTGTTTAAAGGAAGCCAACTGAAACTTCACCCGACAATGGAAAGAGCATCTGCTCAGTTCTCTGGTGCTGGATGCTCTTAGCACATGTGGCCCCAAGTCCCTGAGGATACAGGAGAACCTGTGCTATGGGCCTGGGCAGAGAGCTGCCTGCTGGGGAAACAACAGGGACAGGAGGCACGAGCCTCCCTGGGGCTCTCTGATCACCAGAATGCAAGTGATCAACCAACCAAGATAGAATGGCAGTTTCCCAAGATGATAATTCCATCAGTGTTTGATCATTCCCACGCCTTTCCTTCACACAAGGAAAGCAGATCTCTTCATATACTAAAAAAAAAAAAAAAAAAAAAAAAACCAGCCTTCCAGCTGAACAGTAAATGCACAAGGCTAAAATCACTGCACATGCAGCCAGTGTTCAGTGCCAAGCTTTCTCAAACACTGCAGTGAACGAGCAAGGAGAAAATTGAAGCTTTACTCAAGGCTGACAGTAAGTGGCCTTGATGCTTCTTGACAGCTATGTTATTTTGCTCAGCAGCTTTGATAATATTTGCATTTTTGGCACAGCTAATAGTTAGACAGGCTCCTGGCACAGGTACATTTCTGAAAGAAAGCTGAATTGGAATTAAAGATAGCCACGTTCCTGCTCACAGGAGATGACACTACCTGTGACCCACTGTGGGAGTAGCACTGACATGTGGAGCCTGAACCATGTCAGAGTCTCTTACCCGTATCCGGCAGCAGCACTGTGCTCTGAAGGGCTGGAAGGGGAGAGCATAGTGCAAGGAAAGTGTTAAAATTCCACCAATTTGCCCCTTTCCTATTTGTGGAGGCTGGAGGACACAGGGTAGGAGGAAACAGGCCAGTGCTTTTTGGCAGAACTYCTCCTTTGTGGCACAGAGAAGGTGCTATCTGGAACAGGCCCTTGTCACTGCAAGGAGGTAATCTGGTTTCACATAAGCAGCTTTATCAGCTTCCAATGGCAATATAAAAATAAAAGCAACATCTCAAGATACCGCAAGCATGCTGCACTTGAGCATTACAACCAGCAAGCACACAGAGTGGACGCTTACAGAATATAAAGCAAGAGGCACCAAATACAAGTAGAAATCAGGCCCAAAGCAAATAAAAGGAACTGGTCCTTCCTGTATGAGGTACTTCAGTGCAACAAGTCCTTTGGCTGAGAGTGCTGTAGGTGCTAAAAATTCACAGAGGGGCAATGGAAAAACAGAGAGGCTGCTGGAAAAAAAAGCCACTGACGATTTGTAAATAGTTAYTCTTACCCCATGTTATTCCCTAATGGTCATGCTTAGGGTGAGGATGTCGGGCTACAGGCTCCTTTGAATGTCCAAGGACACCTCAGYTCACATATACAGAGGTGTAAGTGATTGGAGTGGCAGGTATTTAACAAGAACTGCTTGTTTCTAACATCAGTTAAAACACCTTGATCTAATACTAAATGTGTATTAAGACATGAATWCCTGCAGTAATTTTAAATTGACTCTCATTATCTATTTTATCTATCATTATGTATTTTGAAATAGCTTGTACTTTACCAGTTGAATTTGCCAAAACAGCTACAATTTATACAATTACAATGGATTTTTCCACACAAACAACTTCCAGACACAGCTACTGAGTCCATACAACTACTTCACTGTTTGTAAATGCAAGTCTTTACTTTTGTGTTCTAATTTGAAGACTAAAAAGGTGTTATGGCAGAACCTAAACTCACCTCACATCAAACCAGCCTTTATTTTCTTCCACTCAGAAGAACATTTCTTTTCCAAGTTGTAGTCTAATTACAAGTAAAGATCATCCAATACCAAGTTGAGCAAGACAACTCTTAAAACCKTTGCTGGATCGTTTACATACCAGTGGGTGCAAGGGGCAAGTCCCTGCCGCAGAGCTGCRGCGGAGCCTTGGGAGCAGCAGTGGCAGCCGCGCGCGGCAGCGCCCGCTCAGGTGATCTCTGCTTCAGGACATCAGCATCTCACACACGGCATCTTCAGCAGTTTGTTCCTGTATTCCGATCATGCTAAACACTTTTCCTACTAATCTTTCAACACTGCCAGTTTTCAATACAGGTCAAGCATTACCTGGCCCAACATCAAAACAAACAGAAAAACCCCACTAATTCTGTCCCCCTGCCCAAGCTCCTCACATGTGCACACACCAAAATCCTACAACTAATCCCTGAGATCACCTGCTTTTTCCTAATGGAACATTATATAGCACTTCTAAAACTTCATTGATTTAATGGGTGTAATTGCATCACAGAAAAAGGAATCATGGTATAAAGGCTGTTGCTTTCCAAGCCCATGATAGCTGTTTGCCATCTGAACTGTTATACTTCCTAGCACACCTTTTCTGGTAAAACATCTTTTGTTTATACAGTTAACAATTCTCTTAATAATGACAAAGAATTTTATTCTGCATTTCTGAAAGGGCACACACSATCACAACTAAAGTAGGAACTGCGACAGAATGTGCTCAGAGTTACGTTTCTTGAGGGGGGAGGGATTTTTTTTYCTACAAAATAATTACAATCCAAGAGAAACAGCCTACCTAAATCAGTACAAAAATATCACAAAGTATAAAAATTAACAAGAAAATGAAAGTTCTTGTAACATAAAACACTTCAAGAGCTGTATCCTGTTCTCACATCTTTCATGTTGTAACTTTCGTTCGGGAAATTATTTCATTCACAAAACTGTTGTTCTTTGCCAACACTTCATTCCTCAGCTGCTTCAGCTTGGTTTTGATATCTTCTTCTGACATATCCGCCAGCGGCAATGCTTTCACTTGACAAAGAAAATCCTGAATTATTTTTTCACCTTCCTAAAATGGAGGCAACAGAGGAGAGGGAGAGACTAAATCAATAATAATATTTTAAAAAGCATCCACACACAAAGATGATGTTTAGCTTATAAATTTATAAGAATGATTTTCCTTGAAACTTTTGCAGGCAAGAGACTACTACTTCTGGACTTGCTGACATGGTCTCATCACCAGGACAAGCTAGTTACTGGCATCATAAGTTCTTTTCCCTCCGAATCCATGAGCAAAAAACATCTGTTGATCAGTGGAAATAGTTGCTAATGGAATATTTAACCCTGACAGTTCCTATGAATATTCCACATTTGGTTCCTGTGTGCAGCCATGCAAGGTGRACACTGCGGGCAGTGAGAGCACAGGAATGGCTCTGTTACCCAAACTAGTTACTTCTGAAGGAACCATAAACCAAAACCAGTGCTTCACTAAGCAAAACGAAAGAACAAGTTGTTACCAAGCAACTGGAGGCTGGCCGTCACCACGGAGAGCAGACGATAATTAAGCTCTGCACATATGCTTTCGCACCAACAGGCAAGGGGGAACTTCTAAACAATCCGAATTCAATAGTAAGGACAAACATTTCAATGCTTAGTGTTCAGATCCTCTGTGTTAGAAACCATTTGCCAAGAGGACAGAATAGTGACCAGTTCATTGGGCATTCTAGGACTCTACTGCAAACCCTGCTTAGCTTTATCCTTTTTTTTTTTTTTTTTTACATCATTCAGGACTAATGCAGTGTGCTTCAAGTGCAGAAGAGAGGAGGAAAGAAAGTTCATTCATGAACTTAAAAATTATCTCATATGGCTTTATGTGACTGTGAGGTCTGCAGTGCAGATGCATTCAGGTCTGTGCCATGTGCAGATTTTCTCAACTGTTGCCATGTGCAAAGCCAAGAGCTTTTTCCTCCACAGTTGAGTAGAGAGAATGAGGCTCAGACTCTCACAGACTGTGCTAAACAGGAAGAATTCATACAACTGCAAATCAGACATTCCCAAGCCTTTCAATAAGAAGGGCTGGTGAGACATCRTAGTTCTGGCAGGACAGGGAGGGGTGCAAAGGTGAAAGCTGGGCACTCCTTTTTCTGATGTTAACAGATCTGAACTGATGCTCCAAGAAATTAGTGCTGAGMCATCAAAAACAGGGAGCAAGAACAGATGAAGCCTACCTGCAGAGCCCAGAAGAACATAAACAACAATTAACACAAAATGACAAACTTAGAAGTCTCRTGAAATATGGTGTGCACACACGGCACACACTGCATAGCCAACAGAAGAGAAGATCACAAAATACTGGCTTTGGTTCATAGCATAGAGAAAAATGTAAGGGATTGCTGGAGACATGGTCCCTTATATGATTTTAGTTCTTACCAATCATACTAACTGCTGATTACTATTCTTTAAGAGAAAAGAAAAAGAGATTTAATTCTCATGAATGTTTAAGTTTTTAGATGAAATTCTTCCTTATGTCAACTTGAAACAAGTCCAAGCCAAAACCCACTATATCTTTCAAAATGTCTTCAACTCCCCATGAGCTTCATAACTAAACTATTTCGTTAGGGTGAAATGAGGTAGCAGCTTTTATCCTCAACCTTTGAGGGAATCTGAATCCTAAAAAAATTTTGCTTGAGTTACTCCAGCTAAACAAACAAAACCTTTTAGGTTAGCAAACCTCTCTTTCTCTGTAAGGTTTCTTGAGTGGTGGTTCTCCTTCACATTCCTTGGATTTGCCAATGTTTTGAAACTCCTCCAGCTCCAATGCCTTCTCTCTTGCACTCTCAATTACATGTTTTGGAAAAGCTGCCAACTCTGCTACATGTATTCCAAAACTCTGGTCACAAACACCTGGGGGTGGAGAGAGAACAACAATCTGTAAAGACTTCTCAAGACATAGTAAGAATACACAAAGATTATATGAACAGTCTTGTAATAATTCTCYGTTCTGAAGAACTGAGTGTACAATATGCTTGCGTTCTCCTAACATTTTACGATTTACATTTTGAACCACATGTGACTAAAGAATATGCTTTTTAATTAAGCTCTCTGAATAAAGCTTCAAAAGCGCTACATTAAGAAATGGCAAATGGGAATGAATGAAACCTGAAGTGTTTYTTACTAAAGTACTTTCAGTACCATCTATAGAATATGGTCACTCACACTAAATACACACACACACATATATATATATTTACATATATATTATGTATATATTTTATACTTATGTATATGTGTGTGCATATATTATATATATATATTTTTACATACACACACCCTTCTGAATTTACATCAGTAACTCTATAATCTCCAGGAGTTTTAATCRTGTTATGACCTTTCAACTTTAATTTCCTATTTACTTCAATTAATACACTGTTCATAACATTTGGTTGAGAAAAATTCTCACAATGGCTTCTCACACTACTTCAGTTCTAAAGAAGAAAAAAAAAAGAGAGTATTGTCATACCAGTTCTCTGTCCATAGAAAAGAGCATGTCCATTGCATTCAGGTAAAAACTAAGGGGCAGTACTGCATATAAAATATATTTTYGTGTTCTTTTCCTTTAAGATTCTTTCCTCCTCCCTATCTCAGGGTACATAAAATTTACCCTATTCACAGCTTACAAAAGTCTTACCTTCCTTGACACGATAGAGCATCGTCAGTGTGTTGTCACTAGTCAGCGCGGTGACGTGTAAATTATTGACTGTGGACACTTGGTCAGCAAGCGCTGTCAGTTCATGAAAATGTGTGGCAAACATACAGAAAGCACAAATTCTGGTAGCAATGTACTCTGAAATAGCCCATGCCAAGCCAAAGCCATCATAGGTAGAAGTTCCTCTTCCCAGCTCATCAATGATTATCAGGGAGTTTTCAGATGCTGTCCTAAAAACAGAAAAAAACATTTTATAACTTGAGAACAAGAACTCTGCATATTCGAGATGTAGACATACGGTGTAAGAGAGAGTCCAGGCACACACCTGCTGTTTACATTACAACATATGTGTAAAGCATTACAAAGACTCTTCCAAGTTGGATCACTTCTAGTTCGTTTTGAATTTGGTCTTCTGGTAACAGCTGAAATAAAGAGAAGACTACTGCAAAAACTTACAATCCTGCTAAAAGGGTCTTGAGATCCTCCATTTTGAGTCATAACAACTAGTCAGCTCCATAAGAGGAGAAAAAAAAATCTATGTTGTATCATATTTAGAACTTGTCCCTTCCTATGATGCCCAAGTGATGAAACCAAATGTATACASGGCTTACCTAAGGATTGATGCAGTCTCCAACATTTCGGCCATGAAAGTAGATACACCTTTCAGCTGACTGTCTCCAGCTCCTACCCGAGCCAGAATACAGTCCACAATGGTTATTTCTGCAGAGTCGCACGGCACAAAACACCCAATTTGGGCCATGAGAACTATCACCCCAGTCTGTCGGATGTACGTTGACTTTCCTCCCATGTTAGGGCCTAAAGAAGAAAAAATTTAAATGAATTCAGAACATCATCTTGTAACATTTTAAGACCCTTTCAAAGGGGAACAGGCTCTAAATTAAAACAATATTTAAACTTCTCATTCTTCTGCCAGAAAAGAGCAGCAAACTTGTCTAACTGGTGCAACAAGTAGCTCTGCTACTACATGGCTTGCTCAGACATATTACTGAATGGCTTTTTAAAAGAAAGGGAATATGAAAAGCTCCCTAAGTTCTGTGACTTCTCAAAAGCATAAGCAGTCATCTAAAGGGCGTGTTCATACCTGAAATTAGTGAGTTTTCATTTGTCAGTCATCAGTATCACTGTTTAAGAATGCTAATAGTTTTATTTTCATTTCAACAATTAAAATTTGTCTATAAATAATAAGTATCTTAGTTATAGGCAKGGAGAGATAGCTAGCTGGAGAACTAAATTACAATCTAAAGGAGTTCTGAATCTGCAAAAACACAAAAATATTAAGTAATTAATTTTAATTGAAGTACAAACAAAATAAAAAGTCTTTTTCTAAAAGCTGTTCATTAAAACTAATTTTATGCTTTGGCAAATCATAAAAAAAAAGTTTGTTATTATACATCTTACCATGCTTTTCATATTCTTAGTTTCTGTTTTTATGTTAGAAGTAGTTCATTAATCATTCTCTAATTTAAGATCTTTCCTAATCAGAATGTGTCAAGGACATCTGGATGGAAATTAAAATTCAATTAAACATATAAACACTAAAAATGCTTTCCTATGTAGTAAAATTACCTTAATTGCACCAGAGAATAGAGGAGAAAAGGGTACATTCATTAAAATATATTTTACATTTAAAATTCACTTTAAAGCTAAATGAAGGAAACATTAACACTAATGAACTGCTTAAAATTTACCTACAAAAGGCACCTACATGGCTACAATACAGTCGATGCCTAATGGAATTTTCCAAACCCCTTAAATAGATTAAGATTCTTTAAGTTCTGAGGTTGCCTGGCTCACTGAGTGCTATTCCCTGAAGTAAAATATACGCATATTAAGGATTGAGTAATTTCTTGGTTGTTGTCTCCTAACAAGTAACTTTTTTCTTCCCAAACTACTATTTTTAAATTAGTGATCACCTCCAAAAAACTGTGCTCTAATTACAACTGTAACACCTAATTCAAAGAATAGGCACTTGACAGGTGGGAAATATGGGCATATGTACATAAACATACATAACATCTAATATCAAAGGAAACATTCAAGAAGAACATGGTAGCTTTTCTAAAAAAATGCCATATATAACAATATCTTACAAATGTGTTTTCTTCYTCCTGGGCTAAATCTTATTCCCAAAACAGACACCTGAATGACTTCCTAGCCGCTCACCCTCCATTGATTAAAGAGGTTGTTTTGACTGAGTGGGGGTTTTTTTGCTTGTTTTGAGAAAATACATCATTATTGAATGTAGAATGTGAAATGGAGAATGTGAAAGAGAGAACACAAACATTTACCAGTAATAATGTGGAACATCTGCTTGTCCTTCTCAAACGTAACGTCATTGGGGATGAAGGCTACATCATCTTGCACTTCGATGCAAGGATGCCTGGAGCCCTTCAGCACAATTCTTCCTTGTCCTTTCTCCAGGATRACAGGACGGACGAACGGCACCGGAGCTCCATTTGACACATGAGCAAAACTGACAATTGCATCCAACTGAGCTATCACATCATTCATGGTCTGTATTGGCTCTGCATAACCTGTTTTGTTTAGAGAAATACAAATCCAACATAAAGAGTTTTTTTGTTGTTGTTCTTGAAGAGATAAATTAAAGCCTTATTCAACTCACAGAATTAACTAATTCATTTGCCTTAAAATTCAGTTTTGCTCAAGTCAGCAGTCACCATCACCGTAATTCTAAACCTTCCATGCTTGGACTGCAAAAGAGACTGGTCAGTGTGAGTGAGCACTTCCCCTGTGAAAACTCCCTCCATGAGTGGGCACTCTCCCCCTTGAGAGAGCACGCCTCCATGAGTAAGCACTCCCTCCGTGAGTGAGCACTCAGCCTCCTCGTGAGTTAGCACTCTGCCTGGTGAGCGAGCACTGCTCGTGCGAGAACAACCCCCAGYGATCACTCTGTGACGACTACCCCTGAGCACTCCCATAGTGAGTGTGCACTCAAAGGAGTGGAAACTCAGGGGAGTGCCCACTCCCCAGATTGTCCACTCACGGGAGTGTGCACTCCCCRGAGTGTGATAACACTTGAGCACTCCTGTATGAGTGAGCACTTTTCCATTGAGTGAGCACTCCCCCGCAATGAGCACTCCTGCACGAATTTGAGCGCTCGTCCTGTATTCACAGGCACAGTTCACTCACCCCGTGAGAACTTCCCCCTGTGACTGAGCACTCTGCCCCGTGTGTGAGCAGTACCACCGTAAGTACTACCACCCTAAGGGTGAGCACTCCACCCAGTGTTAGTGATCACTGACCTCGTCATTGAGCACTCCCACCGTGAGTGAGCACTCTCCTCATGAGTGAGTACTCCCACCTATGAGTGACAACTTGGCTCCCCCAGGGAGCTGTCACTCTGTCCCCATGAGTGCGCACTCCCCCATGAGTGGAGGGAGTCAAAACTTCTCCCTGTGATTTAGAACTCCGCCCTGCAAGAGTGATCTCTCTCCTCATGACTGAGCACTCCACACGTGAGTGAGCACTTTGCCCCCCATGAGTGAGCACTAGTCTGGGAAGTAAGCTCTCCCTCTGTGAGTGACCACTCCCTCAAGGAGTGAGCACTCCAGTCGTGAGTGAGCACTCTGTTCCCTCCCCCTTTGAGTGTGAGTGAGCACTCCACCCCTGTGAGCACTGCCCCCATGAGTAAGCATAATCCCTGTGAGTGATCACTCCACTGAGTGAGCACTGCCCTGTGACTGAGCACTCCCCCATGAGTGTGAGTGATAACTCCCCCCATGAGTGAGCACTCTGCCCTGTTTGAGTGAGCACTACACCCCTGAGTGAGCATTCCCTCTGTGTGAGCACTCTAGCCCCCCCAACTTAGCACTCTATCCCATGAGCCAGCACTCTGCCCAGAAGTGAGTACTCCCCGGTGAGTTTCAGTACAGCATTTTCAAAATCTAATTAATGTCTTTTGCTGCAYAGGCAAATAACAAAAATGTATCACTAAACAAAATATRCTAAATATTCTAAAATGCAAGAAACCACTTTGTTTTCTAGGCAACTGCCACTGTCACGGTTCTAGTGACTGATGTGAATGATAATGCTCCAGTATTTGTTCAGAATTCCTATTCCGCTTCTATAAACATGATTAATCCTGTAGGTGCTCATGTCATAACTGTGAAGGCCACAGACAGAGATCAGGTAAGTCCTARTTTTTCATTCTGAGACTGCTTTTAGCTGCAGCCCAAATGTATTTTTCTCCATTCTCTAGAATTACGAACTGTTCCTACCCTTCAAAATGTACTCATGGTGCACATGTATTTTTCTTTGATATTGATATAGGAACATTTCCTCTGGAAATTCAGTATTGGCAGGGATACCCAAATATAGTTTCCAGGACATATGACATAGTGTGCATCTCTAAGCTGTGTGGCTTCTGTGGACGGTGAATAGCTGTTTCTAACTCACTTTGACAGATGAGGAATCTGAAGCACATTGCCTCAAGTCACTTGGGGAGTCTACAAGATAAAGAAATTTTCACTTTCTTGTGTTGACTTATTAACATCCTTCTCCTCCTCTTCTGAATTCTGAATCTAGAATTAGAGTKGTAATTTGTGGACTTTGGTCACAAAACTCATGTGTTTTTGGATGAGCTGAAATAGACTAAAAGTTTGTGCAGAACTCAAGGTCCATAAGGAACCTAAGGCAGAACACTAAATACTCTAAATACTTTGCTATGTAAGGATATTTTTATAAGCCTATAAATATGTCTGACTTTTGGAATATCAGAAATGATTTTCCAGAGGAATGTTTGTCCATTGGCCCTTTTCTTTGCTGTTGCTCTTGTGTTACAGTTTTACACCAACTAACTCTGAGCCCAGCTCTCTCTGGTTATTTAAAATGCCCCCRGCATTCTGCCCATGTAGGCATGGAAATGTTAAGATTCCAGTAAGTCTGTACTAAAAGACTTGAAGTAATTTGGTCTTGCAACCGATAGTTACATGAAGTTGTGTTCCTCTCTGGGCAGGGGCAAAATGGCCCTGTTGGATACTACATCCTCCCCGATATAAACTTCTCTCAGTTCTTCCTGATAGAAGATAGGAGTGAGGGTGGAATAATAACAACTGGAAACTTGTCCAGATCAGGAGAGATCCATTTAACAGTAATGGCTGAAGACCATGGTTGTCCATCATTAAACAGCACTGCTACGATTACTCTTAATGTGCTTGACAACTGTCCATTTGTTCCTCGGTTTGACAACATGGAAATCAGGTGAGGCTTCCATATTAAGTTATATAACTGGTACGTATTCTCCATGTCATGGAAAACCKAGTAAAGCTGAAGCTAAGCTTCATCACAGTTCCTTCTCCTCCTCTTGTAGAAGAAAGGACATKAGATTTCARATAGGAGTCCAGGATGACTTTTTGCAGCAGCAGAAATCTTATTTTTAAACATACCAGGTAGATGACATACTGTAGCTAATCCTGTCCATTAGCTTTCCACATAAATATAAAAGCCTTAGTGTGTTACAAACAAAAAAATACCACCTGAAAATTACTAAGAGGAAAACGAAAAATCCAATTAGCTGCTGATTTCACAGCGTATTTATCAAGCAAATTCCTCATCATGACAGCAGCTCATAAAGCTCATTAGGATTTCTACAGTAACTTAATACATTCAAATATGTTAATGCTTCAGATTTAAGTGTTTTCCTGCCTCTAATGCATTTGCACTAAGCATCACTGCATATTTGCAGCAACACCAGGAAAAGGTCTGTCCATAGAAGACAGCAATACATTTCAAGCCTTCAACAACCATTCAAAWGCGATCATTTTTACACTAATTCTGTGAGGAAGGAAGTAGAAGAAACTGCAAAACCTTCTAGCTCTCCAGACTGCAATATAGAGCAAAAGTGCCACATTCACCTGAAGCAATGTTAATGATTTCCTTAACGATTGCATCCTGAGCCTCTTCATACTCTTCTCTGTTCTTTATATATTCTTCATTGATGGAGCTCAGTTTGCTGTGAACAAAACCACAATATTTGGAAGCTGTGAAAATCTGTCTCTTCACTGCTACAATGTAAAGCTTTTGGCCTCCTCACCCATGAGTCAGATCRGTGATCCACCACTGCGTTAACAGGAGGGTTCAACACAAGAATGGCTGGGCAGATAATCTAAGAGTCATTCAGGCTGAGATATCAGACAAGATTAATCCCAAAGGGAGTATCATCCACAAGGGCCAAAACAGCAATTCTAGCATCTCTGAACAGAACCACTTTTAAAAATATTACAGTATATTTAGTTTTGTTATGGGCATCCCATGTGATGGAGAGCTTAAAATCAGAGACAAGTAAGGAACACAAGCATCAGAGTAACATAATGATTTCATGACTGTGGATTTCAGCTTGTTCAACTAGGCAGCAGGGCTAGAGCGAGTAGTTTTTCGTCATACAAACCATCCAGTTGGTTGCTGGTTACTTGCAGCATTTCTTGGGGCCCATATTGTTCCCACCCTCACTAACAACTTGGGTGATGAGACAGTGTACCTCTCAAACACAGTCAGTAGCTTATGAACAAAACCACGTTCAGGCAAGCAATCRATATGCTGGAGGGCAGGGCTGTCATCCAGCAGGATCTAAACTGTATAAAAGAAAGGCTACCAGAAATTTCAGCRAAGTCAAATGTGACATGCAGCAGCTGGGATGAAATAAGCCTGGCAAGAACAGAGGCTAGTGTCCAAACAGCAGCTTCACAAAACAGGAGTGGGGGCTTCTGGTGGACTAGAAGCTAAACAGGACCCACCAACGAGTCCCTGTCAGCAAAGGGACTCACAATCACATACTGGCTGTACTGGGTTAAGGGTACCCCCCAGGTGGAGGGAAGGGATCCTTCCTCACCATGCACCTGTGAGACCACATCTCCAGTACTGGGTCCAGGTTCAAGCCCCAGTTTAAGAGGTGCTGAACCAACAGGCAGGCTCCACAATGATTTGGAGCTGGAACACACAAAATACAAGGAGAAGCTGTGAGAAATGGGTTTATTCACCCTGGAGAAAAGAGGCTAAATGAGGATCCAAATGCTGCCATGACTACATAATCCAAGGGATTTAAGGAGGAGACTTAGACTCCTCCTGTATTCGCACAGCAAAAGGAGCAAATGCAGAAGAGCCAAGATAACACAACGGGATTTCTGGTAACATCTGCCAAAGAAAGTTTTCACTTGTGAAATTTAATCGTTAGAGGATGGGTAGCTGGCCAAAGTCTTGAACTACTTCATCTAGCTTTGAAAATGGATCCAATTCTACGGCGATTCTGCAAAGGAAACTTTTAAATAATGAAATAAATAAATATAAATTAATAAGTAYACCTACAAGAGCAACAAAAAGTGTATTTTCTGCATAGATGACCTGTAACAGAATTGTTCTCTGGATAAGGAGGCACTGAAACAACATTAAGGCAATTAACCTTCAAACCAAAATARTCTATGGTATAGAGACACAGAACAGAAGCCCAATGCACAGAAGCAACTTCAGCTACAGCAKAGTTTGGAACAGGAAAAGTAGCTACTAACAAAACAGCTGCACATCATATTTGATGATAAGCATAAAYAGCTTTCCTCCTATTGCAGCTTGTGAGACTGTCTGTGTAAACAGTCACAGTGAATGCAAKTAGGTAGCTAAAACTGAGAAATTAGTCAAAGTTAAAAGAACAAGAATAGCTGAACCGTTGGCAAAGGAATGAATATGTGTGCTTGTAATAGACACTACTGCATGACTACTCCTCCCTCAGGCGAGTCTTGCTCAACATTTCAATATGTTAATTAATTAAAARAAGATAAAAATTCAGCCACTGAAGATGGAGGAAGGACAGTCTATTGGGATACTTACAGAGAAAGGAATAATTGTTTCTCTCACAGCAGGCATAAAAAGGCATCAATATCCTTTCATACCTGTTGGTAAACTTCACGCCATTCTTCTGGGTATCAATTATCCTGTACTTGGAGTTGTTCCGGAGAACTTTTTCTTCCTTGCAAGTAATTCGAAAATGGTGCCCAAACTGTGAATTTGACTCCAGTTTGATACTTTTGCCAGCTTCCAAACCTTTTAAATGAAAAAAACAGAGAAGGAAAAAGAAAGAAGAAAATCATCACCCAAGAGCCTGTAGTCTATGCTATGTCTGCTCAATAATCCCTACAGAGCACATCGAGGATATGCTATTCAGCATATTGCTTTAGCTCTGCACACATAGGAGAAGTAACCAGACCTAACAGAAATTTACTGGTTCATTTATTTCATATGTCCCCACACTGTGCATTCAAATCAAGTACTCCGTCAATGTATTGCTACATGTCCCCCAGAAACAAGAATAACATTACAAGAATATTCTGTATTAATGCAACAAGCACAGCACATTTAGCCCTGTGATTCTTTTTCCAACACATACTTCTGCAGGTGAGATTTCTCACTGCATCCCTATGCAATCTTGTCTTCCCTTCTTTTGCTGCAAGGTWTCTTGTCTGAACTAAAAAAACAAGACTGAAAAATATGCAAGCTATTAAAGGTATAACCTAAAATACCTCCGGTGTTGCCAGTTTTCCTTGCCATATTTGCATTTGCATTTCAATTAAAGTTGCTCTTTGAATGTCCAATTCATTACACAGCTGCACACGGTTTACACTATGTAAAACCCTTTAAATCTCTCATTTTGCTTCCAAGAGTTACGCATTATATTTTGCAAAGAGCTTCACACAGAAAACTGGCACGCCCTGAATGAACGTGGGAAAAAATGGCAGAATGGACAGACAAAAAATGTTTCAGTGTACATCCTTAAAGGATGAAAAATTAGATCTAACCAAGAGTTAGATGAGTTGTTGTTCTAGAAAAGAAATTCTATAGTATCTTGCAAATATGCATGAGAATCTTTGAAATAGGCTGTGACACCATCCTTTAAAAATGTCAATTTGGAACCCCCAAATTACTCCATTTTCAATAGGCTGTACCTAAWTGTAACAATTAAAGTCACCTAAAAACTAGTTATAAAATAAACAACCCTTAACTCTTCAATAACAGTTTTCACTAGTTCTTCTGAGAGCATTGTACACAGAATACAAGAAGCAGTGGCAGTTCATACCCTACCTAGTTCTTTGGCTGCACTCTTTAAAAAGGACTCCATGTTCTCCTCCAGCTCATTCATCTTCTCTCGCAATTCTGTCAAGTTAGGATCAAAAGAAGCCTTGACAAGAAATTCATGATTCTCCACCTAGGGGAAAAATAAATATATAAATAATTCCCTCCCTGAATTATAGATCCCTCCCTATATAGATCCCTCCCCACATATGTATATTTATAAAGTACAATTTTGCAGTGCATTAGTATTTGTGATAACTGTATCCTTGGTTGACTGGAGTCTGATTCACTCASAAAACAAATGAGACTCAAACATTTCTTCCTCAGAGGACATACTTTACACAAGAAAAATATACCAATTTAACTGACTCATTTACTTTGAAATGGATGCAGTTGTTTACATATTTTTTCATTTGCATAAAAGCAACAGCAATACTAAACAGACAAGAAAAAGAAACAAGGTGGGTGGAAATGACACTGTTACATATTTCCACAAAATCCATTTGTCAGCCTAGATTTAAGCAACTAATCAGGACAGACTGTAAGAGGAAAGAGCATTTCAAAACAAGAAGTGTTTAAAATGGAAGCTTCTGAGAACATTTCCTGCCCAATACACATTCAACAGCTTTACGAAAGTTGAATGTAAGTCTGTATTTTATTACCAAAAATCCTCTCCAATTTCAATCCAATTCTGAGCTGAAAAGCATATATATATATATATACAGTTCCCTATAAACTAAACATTTTTAAGAGGTGCTGATGAATTACATTGTACCTCATCCTTTTCTTTCTCTCCTCCCCATGCTTCCACTACTAAGTATGCATTCTCAGTGACATTATAAGCCCCCTTCAAGGCCTTAGTTTAATTTGAAGACATATATTTATAACCACTAAAAAGAAAATATTTATATATATATATATATAAACACACTTTTGCAGTCAATAAAGTATTTGCATTGTTTTCTGTGACATGGAAACTAAGTCCATTTAAGTTAAACCAAGCCACTATTTTTGTGAAACTTCCTCTGGCTGGACATTATCTGCAAAACTGTACTTAACAGCTGCTGCAACTACTTGAACAAGATACTGGTTTGCGTGTAGCTTTACTTTTATCCACAAGTACATGTTAGCAAGAGAAGGGTGGGCAAAAAGAAAGAGGGTTTCACAGTTCCTTTATTCTTGCCCCTTACAAAACAAATATTACACTAAAAAGCACTGAGCAAGAGGTGCTACAGCTGCTGGCACCACAGTCACAGGTATACGGCTTTTATTCACAAAAAAATGCTTCAAGTCTGGAATGCACAAGGCAACTTTAAAAGCAATAGACTGCAAACTAACAGGTTTTGCAGCAACTTGGGACAAAGATCTGAAAATACAAACTGGAAATGAAAGCCTCAGGATTACTTATGCCCTTTGAATTGGGAATGGGGGCTAAGTAAATTACCATGTGAGGAAAGTGCAGAACATACTGTATGTTCAAAGGATTGCTAGTTTCTTCTGGGAATGACTTTCCCCAGACAAGTAATTACATCTTCCGCAGAAGGAGAACTGAACCAAGGTGCTAGTTTCCTCTGTGCAAATATCAGTGCTGCAAAGTGTTTCGCTCAGCCTCACACATCAGTGCCGCTTTGGTTGTACGCCCACAGTGCAGGGGCCTAACCAGAGATACATGAGCTTCACAGAGTGATGCAGCACGAGGTTTCGTTCCTTGTTTGTTTTTTAGAGGGCCAGTGTAAAATTTGGAGGCATTAGGAAAGTGACTTAAATTTATTCTCTCCAGAAATGTCCCTGCTGATAGGTCTGCTCCTCCCGTTAGCTCAGTAAAGGGTACTCCTGCAAAAAGAATAGCTTATGATAGTCCACATGATAGAAAAGACCATTCCTGGTTTTGCAAGACTGGTTCTGAAACAGAAAGGTGCGACTGCACAGCCACACACCACGGGCAGTAATGACCGACTTCATGAGACAAYTTAAGTTAACATCAAAATGAAAAGCCGTAGTGCTTTGTGTCGGATTGTTTGGGGTTTTTTTTGTTACAAAGCTTCTGCACAGCCCACCAGGTGCTCCAGCCTCAGGTTCAATTGCCTGGTGGCATTTTTAGGTAGAGCTACCAAGATCTGAGGATGCTTAGCAGGCTACATCCCATTGCCAACTATGATAGGGCAGATCCTTTATCATTAAGAGGTTACTAGACAACCTTTAGCTTGAATAGAATTACTTCATCCCATCACATCCTCCATGAGGAATCAAAGTGGGATTAATAGAAAATATTTTAATATGAACTTAAAAGTTGAGCTGAACTGTTAGAAAAATCGAGCAAGCATTGTTTAAAAAATATATTAAAAATAATGCTACTAAATAATAACAACATCAGGTATCCACTGTTGTATTATACTCAAATTCTTTTAAAGCTGTGCTTCTCATATAGAAGCTATAATTAGGAAGTTATAGCAGACCTTCAGTTGTGCAAGTGACCAGGTGAACGTGGCCAACAACCTGGCAAAACAAGCGTTAACAAGGATGTGCAGTGGCAACTATTCGGTTTCTTGGTGCTTCACCAAGATTTTGCAGGTAAAATGCACTGAAGGCTAAATTAGAACTGTCTTCTAAATCCAAGTGTTAAATCTGCTTCAGAAAGCAGGAAATCAAGAGGCACAGGTACCCATGACAGTTCCAAATACCCTAATACCATTTTCACTCTATACAACATGACACTGGCAGCAGTTATTCATATACAAGGGGTTATACTGAAAGCAAATCTCATTAATTCAATACAGATAAAAGAGAGCAAGCATCCTCTTTTGTTCTAATAAATATCTACTGCCTCTTTTAAGATTATCAAATTTTGGTTAGTGCATATGTATACTTGCAAGAAGGAGGACCCAAGTGAGTCTCATTTCCAAGGGGTTACTCACATGAAACAGCAAAAATCATTTGAAGACTCTGGCACTATCCTAAACTAGCTAAATGACATGAGAAGCAGACCTTTCTGTAAAGGGCTATGCTCCTAGTACCTGAACTCCAAATCCCTTTTATGAGAACTGCTAACACATTTTGAAGGCAGCCCTTCTTTGAGCAGGTGGTTGAAGTAGATGACTTTGAAAGGTCCCTTTCCAAATTAAATTTCACAATTCTATGAAATACAGGAACAGAAGTGACAGTTTATCAACATTTACTACAGCTGGTAAATGAATAACTGCATCCCACACTTTTTAAACTCAGTTGCTTCCTTTTCTGCTGCAATGGTTATCCTGAAAGGATTAGTGACATAATTAAGTTGCCATGACAACCCATCCTGCAATCACACTCAGAATAGAGCTGGGTATTTTATTTGAATTTCCTAAGAATCTAAGAGGAATTGCAAGTCAAAGGTTCAGGTTTTAATGTTCAAACAGAAGAATGTTTATTTTTCCAGTAAAATCAGTGTTGATTTATCTATAGCCATTTAAATCAATTCCAGTATCTTAAAAAGGCACTAAAACCCTTACACTAAATCCAAAATACCAGATTCCCTGGGACTTAATTAAAAATAATTGACTCAATATTCTGTTTAGAAGGACAACAGAACATCTTAAAATAGGAGTTGAAAAGAAATGTGAAGAGATGGACTATGAAGGGTAAAGGCTTAGAACAGCTGTCAGTTTTAAAGAAAGCAGAGTCCGAGGGCATAACAACTGCATCAACAGATGGTCTGTAACTAGTATAAAGCTATAAATTTCTTCATTAGCATATATCACAAATTACAGAAACATGTCAGTCGAGCAGTCTTTCCCTAAGCAAGCAGTAAAGCACAACTGATGGAAGTATATATGGCACAAGCACATCAAAATCAATGCTTTCGCCTTTGGAGCAAAATAAGTTGTTAAAAAATCTGAAACCCACCCAGTTTTGATAAGTTACTTTGTTCCACAACTTGCCTCCCCCTTTGCCAAACGTGGTAGTGAGGGCAAATCTCATATTCCTACAGTCAGCTGAAAGTGACATTTATGACAATCCCAAAAAGCTCCCCCCACTTTTTGAAAAGAAGCATCTTATTAGGAAAGAAACATTAAATAAGTTCTAATAAACAACCAGAAGAAAAAAGTAATTTTGTTAAAATAGCCAAATTTCAAAATATATTGAACAGATTCTCTAAAAAAAAAAGGAGTGAAAAAAATACATATGAAATGTTCTAGAAATCTTGGCATTGTTTCACCCAGTTAAGAAAAAGGACGCAGCCAGAAACATGAATTAAGTATTCGATGCTAAACAATGATAAATCAGTCATTTACACTCATCACCTCTCTGGTATAGATTTAACAAYCGAGATGTTCCTTCCAGCTTACTTTGGCCATTTTTTTCTCTTTATGTGTAAGCTGTGTATYATTTTATAAGCAAGTTTGGGATATGGGTGCAAACTAAGTTAAAAAGCTTTCTCTCTAGGTCAATCATTTTCCAGAGAGGCAAATTGTTAGTTATGAAGACTAAATCTTATGAAATAAAACAAAATCTAGCGAACTTTATGGAAGTGGAGAAATACAGCTAGAGTATGTTTGTTAAATAACCCCGATTTGAGATGCATCACAGTAACATCATTGAACATACAAAGAAACAAAAAAAGAAGAAGTGGAAAAATAATTTCCCTCTTTTAATACATGTTTTATTTAGTTAGTTTCAAAAACAAAAAAAGATCCTATCATCCATGTATCCCAACTATTTTGTTATTAAACTAGATAAGTAAGGCACTGGGTGAACATCCTCTTGATATTCAACTGCTATCCTAATATCTGTCCTCATTTACTCTATTGCTAAGCTAAAACTGCCTAATATAGATGATCAATTAGCTYTGTGAATGTGGAGCAGATTGTAAAGTTCAATAAAAATTTAAATTGCTAAATAAACCCCCTCCCACATGCCATCTTGTACCTTATCCATGTCTAATGTTGTTTCTATCATCTCCAGAAACTTTGAGAAGTCAGAGTGGATATCATTAAGTGGTGTTATAAACACTGCCAACAACAACATCTGGTGATCTCCTGTTAGGGCAGAGAAAAAAGAATGATTGACAAAAGAAATCCACAATTTTCTCAATAGTCAACTAGAATTCACCTATCTAAAATAATTACCACAACCATAAAGGTGGTTAATTCCCATTAAGACTGTTCACAATTATTTCATGCAACACTTGTGCATGCTTTTTTTTTTTTTTTTAAAAAACAGCATTATCCCTTTTATATTGATTAGGCTCATACCTATTCTATTATCTTCAGTTATATCTGGAGGTATTAACCTGCTAATATGAGCAAAACTACAGGSAAACAACAGGTAAAAAGCAAACTCGCTGTCTCTTCTTGCCGCACAGAGAGCCGAAAYGGCTTTGTTACAATTGTGTTTCTACAGTAACCCATTTTAAAGATATGAAGGAAAAAAAAATCATCTACACTTAAGGGCTTTTGTCTTAAATCTAAACTTCCAGGAATTGGGAATACTTGTTGAAGTCATATGTGGACACAAACAGGAACTGATTTTTTTCAGTCTTTCCCTCTCCTTCTTTAAAAAAAAAAAAAAAAAACACCTACTCTAAGCAGATATTGTTCTTTACACAGAGCAACCTAGGAGCACCGACAGCAAGGGGCAGTTCACAGTCCACTTATTGCACACACACATATTGCCAATTTTGTGAAAGAAATATTTTCATSAAGCCTATAAATTAGCACCTGTTCAAGTCAGCTGTGAAAACTGTCAATACATTTATGTTTGAATCTTCTGCTTSAAATTTTAATTTAATCATAGCAAGATTAGCATTATTGACTATATATTTATGAAATACCTCAAAGAAAACCTAGGGTTGTGAGCCTGTAGTCTCYGGATTATGTACAGAATTATGAGATTTGCCTCTGATTTTCAGAGATCAGCTTTTGCAAATTAACAGATAAAGGGAGAATTAAACTCAAACTATTCCAGAGCTTCCCAATTTCTTACCAGACTAGGTAGAAAAAGATCCTAATCTTGCCTAAGAAAATGCTTGTCAGTAATTGATAAAAGTCACATGATCAGGTAAGTTTATCCTTTTTCTTTCTGTCTCTCAGCTCTGTACTCAAATGGTTTTTTTGCTCCCTTCTCTTCCCATGTCCTTTTACATTTTTCTCAGCTTTTCATGTTAAAGTTGTTAACTGATTAGTATCTATTAATAGCGAGGGGGGAAAARACAAGTTCATATTTTTGAGAGACTACTGAACTTGTAAAAACTGAGTCTTTAAAAATATTCAAGTGAAGCACAGAGTAATRCAAGAACAATATAGCAGCAGCAATGGACCATTTGCTATATAGACTTTACTTATTCATTTCAGTCCATCCACAGCTGTTTCTGTCACCTCTATATTTATTGCATGCTTTTATTACATGGAAATAGAAGAAAGAACTGTGATGATAGTTTGAGCAACCGTGAACACTTACAACTAAGAGCTCTGAAAGAAAATAGTCCTTTTAATTATAATTTCACATCTCTCTCACTTGTGTATTCGCTCTAGGACTACCACCCCTACACGTCACTTCCAGGACAAGAGATCTGAACCCACCTAAAAGTAACAGGAGGCAGCAAAGAAAGAAGTGGAGACTGAAAGGGCAGAGATGTTTCACACTCGTTCTTCAGAGCGCATCTAATGGTTACCAGGACATCGGCTCACGGGCCRCATGGCACCCACTGAGCAAGGATGCCAAGTATACTTGAACTAAAAGTGATTATTCTTGAACTTAGAGCAGTAATAACCATTTTCTTCTTGAAAAGAATAAGCAAGGGTCACGATACCACTTCATTATTAGGTTTAGAAGAGCACAGCTTCAGATACTGTAGAATGATGCTGAATTCCAAAATGAGAAAATACTGGTTTATTTCATATACTTATGACAGAATTCAAACTGAAACATTATAAAAACTAATCTGAACTTCTCAATCCAAATGCAACATTCAAGACCTGCACAAATTAAAAGATTTGATTTGATAATCCAAGGATTTATGGAAGCTGTATTAGTACRCTATCCACCAAAGCACAATACTCTACATTAAAAGAATCTGTAATTTTTCTAGCTACTTCTCGTAAGTAGCTAGATTTTATGCCCCAACAATTTGAGCAATGAACAAATGCTCCCTCCTGCCAGCAACAGCAAAACAACTTGATGATTCAGTGCTTTTTGCTCTTTCTTATCAAGCACAAAAGTAATCTTCATTCATTCCCCTGCTCCTCAAGTTTCACCACCCATAAAAACAATTATCTCAGGAAAGCAATGCTTTATATTGAAGAAACAGCAACCACTGCTACTTGCTTTATGTTGCAGCTGATTCATTCTCCCTTCTCTCTGCTCCCAAAAAACATGAAATAATAAAAGTTCTCAAACTCACAGATGCTTTCAGAGGCCATTAAATTTTCTGACTTCCCATCTCCTGCTAAGTTGAAAGATTTTGTATAGTTTCAAACAGGAAAATCATCAGATGCAGTCTGAATCAGTTACATTTGAAACTACCAGGCCATTCTTGTATTTTAAGCAAAGGCATGCAAATACAAAGAAAAAAAAATAAAAATAACACACTTCACCTAGTTTAAACTATTATTTTAGATGCACTGCTGACAAATGCCCTAGTAAGGATAACTGATTTATGTGTAAAACAGCAAGAACCTTTTGCAATCTTATACACATAAAGCAAGCTTAGCAGTTGCCTCACAGCTTGGTCCTCAAGACATCTAAAAGCAGATTGCTTTCATAGCCAAGTATAACAACAGAGAACCTCTGCTCACTCAAACAAAGAGTAACAGGAAAAAGGAGAGGACACATCAAGAGACTATGCTGAACTAATATCTGCCAAAGAGACATATTTCAAAGCTTCAGGCTGGGGAAAAACAAGCAAAGTCTGCTTGGAAGTGTCAAAGGAACAGAACTGAAGCTGATAAACTCTGGCAGAGGACTTGGAAAAAGTATTTACATATAAGAGATTTTAAAACATATCAATGGACTTCAAAAAACATGTTTTTTTGTCAGCATAGGATGGACATGAAAAGGACTACCACATTGAATCACCTGCCTGCCACACAGACACTGTACCTTATCTTGCTTACTCTTGATAATACATAGAAAAGAAAGAATAATCCTTCTAATTCCTAGTAATTGTTGTAACTCTGAGCTTTCTACTGATAAATAGCAGAAGAAAACTCGTTTCTAAAGGAAATAAATAAATAAGCAAATAAATGAATAAATGCAGGTCAAAGTATGCCACTAAAATTCAGATGGGGAAAAAGAAAAGTTTAATCAYAACTCAAACTGCAAATAAAACTACCTTCCAAAGGAACATGACAATGTTGTACACAGGGGTTTCATAACACATCGCATTTCATAAACATCAGTCGATTTTTTTCTTTTTAAGAAATAAGTCACCTCAAAGACTACAGAACTATCACCTGACTGCTCAGGTGTTTTAGCTGCACGCTATTTGAAATACTTCGAGGCAGAGAGGGTAAAAATTTTAAGTGTCTGACTGGTGTTTCACAGCTTTATTGCATTTCACTTATCATTATGCCTTATTACGGATATTAAAAATATACACAAGGCATTTTCTTTGGAAACCTACACACTATTTCTTGTCACTCTCACAGTATTATAAAACACTGGAAAAGAGACAAGGGATGGCATTACCTTCATGTTTTTCTAGTGCTTGTACAACGTTAGGGAGTTGATTAATTGCCTGATACATTCGGTAACAGTCCTGTAAGGTTGCTGCTTGTCTCTGAAATTTCTTTGCTAGCCGGTTGAGATCTGGGAAGCGACGTAAAAGATCTTCTTGAAGGCACTGACGCAGTTCTGGATCCACCACAAAGGCTTCAACCAAATTCAACCTAAATGAAAAGTTCAGAACATGAATTAGTATGGTAAGGCTTTTGTAGAATTAAAAGAAAACACCTATCTTGAAGTTTCWATTTATACTTTTTCTAGGCACATATTCATTGGCCAACTCTCATGATAAAAAAATATATAAGTGAAACTAGAACAACGTAGGAATTGAGAATGCATGGATTTTAAGTTATGCTTTTGTAACATATGGAATTGGGATACCTAATCAACAGCTTTGGAGTCAAAGTGTTTCAAGCTTTGTTCAGTAGAGATGTTGAAGCTTAGAATCTCCTTTGAGGGTAAATCCTTCACAGAAGGTCATCCACTAATGTATGAAAGAATAGACACTAAGTGTATGAGGGAAAGGCAGAACTCTCAAGAGTCCTTGGCAGCGCTCAGCTGCCTGTGCTTAAGGCCAGCTTTGTTACAGTACAGCTGTGCAACCCTCAATCACAGAGTCGGAAATCTTGAGCTTGGAAGGGACCTCCAGGTATCCTCTAGTCCAAAGTCCTGCTCAGAGCAGGGTCAGCTAGAGCAGGCTGCTCACTGCTGCATCCAGTTGTGTTTTGAATATCTCCAAGGATGGAGATTTCACAGCCTTTCTGGGCAAGCTGCTCCTATGTTTGACCACTGTCAGTGTGAAAAAGTCGTCTTGTGTTTAAATGGAATTTCCGTATTTAGTTTCTATCTCCTGCCTTCTGTCCTTTCACCTCACACCACACCACAGAGGAACCTCAGTCTTCTTCGCTCCTTCCCACCAGGTATTTGTACACATTAATAAAGTCCCCTGAGCCTTCTCTTTTCCAGGCTGAATATTCCTAGCCCTCTCAGACTCTCCTCATATGACAGACTGCTCTAGTCCATTAATCATCTTAGTAGTCCTTTGCTGGATCCACTGTAGCATGTCCATGTCTCTCTTGTACTGGGGAGTCCAGTTCTAGACACACCACTCAGAACATGGCCTCACCAGTGTGGAATAGAGGGGAAGGATCACCTCCCCTTGACTTGCTGGCAGCACTCTTCTCCATGCAACCAATATGAGATTGACCTTCTTTGCCACGTGGATACAATGCTGGTTCATGATCAATTTGGTGCCGACCAGAACCTCTCAGTCCTCAGTTCTCTGCACAGCTACTGTCCATTTGGTCATCCCGACCCTGTACTGGTGCATGTGGCTACTTCTATCCTAGAGCACACTCTGAATTTCCTTTTGTTGAACATCATAAGGTTTCTCATTTTTCCAGTCTGTCAAGTTCCTTCTGAATGTTTTCTCACTTTTCAGGTGATATGCAGAATTCATGCAACTCCTCAATAAGCAAAATGTTACCACATATCACTCCAGACAGAGAGTTCAGTAGTCACAGTTACCTTTGTGTTTTCTTACCTGSAAAGCTGCATCAAATTCTAGTTTAGAAAAAACACACACACAAAACAAAACCCAAACACTCTTATTCAATTGAAGTAGCACTAGATAGAAAGCAAAAGGACATTTGTAGAGTTTACCCCCCCCMMMAAAAAAAAAAAAAAAAGACGACCAAGCTCACGCAAAATCTGCAACATTCAAGGCTGTCCTTTGTGTTAGATTACATCTTGCTTTCTGATCATCTGTATTTGTGTCTCAAGTATTTCATTTAACAACCCTTCTAAGAGATATTTACTTGATCATATTCCTGGCACTCATATATATATCACCAATAACATTTTGAATCTTATTAACTTTTGTACATGGAAAAAAAAATGCAGCAACAATTTCTAAAACACCACATAATCTTATTTTTAAAACGCATCTGCACAGAGGCTTGTCCAGATCCATGCAGATGCCCAGAGTCTCTTTGGAGTCCATGCAAAGCTCTCCAAGAGCCAGATTACATTCTGTTTTCCTACACACATWGTTTTATATTTATTCTCATTAAGAAGACAGTCTGTCCCTTTTCTTTCCAATTACTCAGTCTGTTTCGGTTTCTCTTAAAAGTTTGGCTCTTATTTGTGTACCAGCCTATGAAATGTTGATACCTTATTAGCAAACTCCCTATTTTGACCATTAAAGCACATCTCTAATGCGGCTCACGGACCCCCGAGTTTACCTTTGGCAAGATTAAAACTGACCTTGTATTTTTATTTTTTCACTTGTGCCTTTTAGGCGCTTCTATACAAACAACTGCTTCACTTTCATCCCGCAGCTTGTTAAACAGCCTCCTGGGTAAGAGCTTGTCAAAGGCTTTCTGAAAGGCCTAATATATTCCTTTTTTTTTTTTTTTTTTTTTTTTCCCTCCTTCGTCCACTACAATGACAAGTTCAAAGAGTTCTTGGATCAGCAAGATACAATTTCCCTCTGCCAAAAATCATGCTAATTAGACTAACATCTCATGACCTTCCTGGTACTGTTCTATTCTCTCTCTCTACATTTGCCAACCACAAATATAAGGCTGACAGGTTTATGTTCCCTCTACAGTTTGCATAACAATTTCCTGTACTGTTAGAATGCATACAAGGATGCTGAAGAGAAAAGCCTACATTAAGATAATGCAACTATAAACCATGCCTATTGCTCATAAGTAATAATGAAATCAAGTGCAGTTTTTATTTAGTGTAAGGCTCATGACTAAAGAAACAAAACAAACAAACAAACTCCCCACAACATCCARGAAGTATAACCAAACAACAGCTGACAAAGCTCTTGCAAAGCTGCAAAGCAGAAAGGAAAATAAACCAGATTTGTTCCCACAGACCTAAACAATCACAGTCAACATAACTGTAACAAGAGAAACTTCCTTAAGAAATACATGAAACTTTTATTCTAAGRTTGTGGCTTAAATTTGCAAATTAAACCACAAAAATAAACAACATCTCAACTAAAGTAATTGAAAACCAAAACTACTACTTTTCCTGAAATGGCAAGCAATACCCCACATTCTTTCTTCCTGCTATTCAAAACTATGACTGTTTCTCCTCTTTGAATTATATTCGGCAACAAGCAACATTAAGCTTATGAGCTCTTCTATAAAAACAGTATATCCAAGTTTCTGTTAGACTGCTGAATCCAACTGCAAACATTTCATCTTTTCCCATGTTGTTCTGTTGCTTTGAGGCGTGACTCAATCTMCTATAACAGACACTTCACACTACAGAACAATCCCCCCCCCCTCTCTCTCAGATCTAGTAAGTCAGAACAAATTTCCCACCTCTCATCACCAAGGTTTACGTCCCATTAGACGTCACAAGAGTGCACTTCTTCCCCWGCAACATCTATGCACCATTTTTCACCAAATTTACACTTAATTCACACTTAATGCTGCCCTAACACAGAAGGTTAAACTATATTTCTAAGCTTTTGAAGAGCTAGATGTAAAATAATTTAACAGGAAAACAATAACCAACCCCGAGTTGTACAAAGATTTCATTAGAACATGAAAAAACACCTKCCCACAGAAGTAACTGAAACAGATTAAAATGTATAATCAAAAGTGAAGAACCATTTTTTGATAGCATGAATAGGAAATTTTAAAGTGTCTAGGCAAGCATGGCAAGGGCATAAAAGAAATTAATCATCTAGTGAACTGTAYAAGCATAAAGCACTGAGATTTGAGCCTCTCCTCCCCAGACCTCCTGCAAGACCTTGGGCAATTCTATTCTTTTGCTCTTTATGCTCACAGGGACAAGAACATTTCTTCCAAACAGCTTTGCTTAGAAAGAGAACCTTGAACTTTTTATTATATTTACAGATTCCAATTTCATAATATATCAGTAAGATATATTTCATTATTACTAGAACATTTAAACTGCCTACTTATTTTTTGCATGATAATGGCTAAGCTAAGAGATTTCTTGGCGATAGCACTAAAAAACTCCACGACATGAGGAAATTTCAGCATTAAAATCAAATGAAAAATGCACTCTTATTGAAGGAGATTAATTGCTTCTAAAAAGATCTTGAAGATTTTAATCTTCTCTACTATAACTAGACAAAGGTGCAATTTTGTGAAGAGCACATAACTGCATCATGTGTTAACTAAAGACTTCCAAAGACTAAAGATTAAGAAAATCTTTTTATTTTACTATTCTACCTGATTACAATGAATTTTGGCAGGAAGCTACACTTACATAAAAAGTACGTTAAGGACTGCCTTAAGATATGTTAAGGCTTTAACTCCACTATAGAAGTTTCACTACAGAGTTCCATCAGTTTAATTTTAGATTTCATTTGTACAAGGAAAAGTGGGAAACACCTTGTGGACCCTTATTTTGTTTTCCATTGCATTTCTTTACAATGCAAGTGCCTTCTTAATCCAAAGTAATGGATTTAAACTCCCTCAGCATACAGTTAACAAGTTAACAAACATGATAGACCTTCCTAGCTTTCCAGTTTTAGTTTCCTGAGATTTCTGTCAGGCAGAAGTTGCTGTGACTSCTGCAAGGGAGTGACCTCCAGCAGGTGGCAATACTTACTCAGCAAGCAAGAGGGGCCTTTGTGTGASTTGCCCTAAGCAGAAATCTTTTGAAGATCTTGAGTTTTTGTAACATAACAACAGAGAAAACTACTCTCTAGATGAGCACACACATACTTCTCTAGCATAACATATATGAGAGTATCCAAAACGGGCAATTAGAATTTTTTCTTTTAAATAAGTGGAAATTTAACATCCCAATATTTTTAGTGCCCAATTTTTTTTTTTTTCCCTTAAACCAAGTTGTCCCTGGCCCACAGCTCCCTCATAGCTAYGTGCACATGCACAGAGGTCTGCAGCTAGCAAACAGGCAGCAAGTTCCCAGGGTCCGTACAGGAGGCAGCACCCAGGTATTCCGTGAGGTTTTACTCTCCTTATCTCTGCCAGAGCTGCCTGCATCTTAAAATGTATCCACTTCCACACTACACAGCGGGAAACAGGCAATTTTCTGGTAACAACATACTATAAACACCTTTGTATTATGATACAACGTCTTCCTGGCTCCCCTCTGTCCCCCTGAAAAYCACTGTTACAATTAAGAACTAAAATAAGAGAAAATG